TGAAATATCTCTTTTCTGCACCTTGAAATGTAATGGAACCTGAAAATAAGTACAGAGCTAACTAATCTCATGCTCTGTGCTATTTTTCCACTAAATGATTTCTTTGCTTCATTTAAAAATTATTGCATAAGGGATTTCATTGTCGTATTTCCATAGGTGGATGTATTGTGTTTGATCTCTTATACTTTACTTAAACTCATCCCTATTTCCTCCATTTGACAGTTTTTAATGCATTTCTTTATGCTATTTTCATATGTACATTTAATGTACTTTGATCATATTCATCTTATTTCATCTACTTTATCCATGCTTCCTGCCTTGTATCATTTTTCTTTCCCTTTTTAGTGTTGATCACACAAGCTCAGAAAGTACAAACTATGCATCTAATGAATGTTATGAATTATAATATCCAGTGAAGGTACTGCTCCAAAAGATTTTAATGCATTCCTGTCTTTTATTTCTGCCACTGACTAAATGAAGACTTTCAGTATTTCATAACTTTTTGTCTAGAAAATGAGAAAAAAACTGTTAAGTGAGGTCAGTGACTCATTGCATCCCATGTGCAACAAGCTGACAGGGGGAAACTATGTACCCAAACTGCTTACATTTGAGGGTTGATGACATTCTTAACACTGTGGACAATTGAGTAAATTAGTTAAATTTTTATACATGTTTACCTCATCTGTGATAAAAAGAGAATAGAAAAACCTTTCTTGGGGTTGTTATAAAGATCACATGAAATAATACATGTAAAGAATTTATATAATTGTTCTGTGTCTAAAAAGTTTTGTGTATGTGTAAATTATAATTACCATAAGGTAGTTACTTTTCCTCCATGTGCCTAAGGTTTAAAGATAGGAATAGAAGTACAACTTATAAAATCAGTTTACCTGTTTTATGTTACACAAGTTCCTGCAAGCATGAAAACCTAATGACCCAGGGAATGTTGCCTATTTTTTATTTTTATGTTTCATGAAGAAAGGCCAATTCTGTAACTATGTGATTTCACAAAAGGTTATGATCTACAGATAACAGATTGAAGGAGAAGGATTTCACAAGGCCTGTCTGTCAGGTTCTTCTTGACTTCCTTGCATAGTTGTTCTTATTGTTCTTTCTTTCGTCCTTCTTTTCTCTCTCTCCTTCCATTCCTCTTCTTACTCCTCCTTCTTTTTATTCACTCTTTCTTTTTGTGTAAGTCTGGACTTATCTGACATGAGTGTCAAGTTATATACTTTCAGATAAGTTGTGCCAGAGAATTCATTAATGGTCAGCTTGTAACACAGAAAATGTAGAAGTTCAGAGAGATGTCTCTTTGTTTTATGACTTAGTTTGGGAACAAAATCCCCTCATTTTGATGTCCCCATTTGGGGAAGAGAAATTTCAATCTCTTTCCTGATGTGGGGGGACAAGAATGGAAGAAATGAGGGTTGGAAATGATCAAATAGATTTTTTCTCTGAGGCCTTTAATTTCAACATAATCAGCATACCAAGGTTACAGACTATGATGCATTATATTCCTAACCCCCAACATTACCTGTCTGAAGCTTCAGCGAAGATTCCAAAATGATTATAAGCAGAACTGGTAGCAGTGGGTAAAAGAGTTGACTTGTTATGTGAGTGACTAATGAGCTTCAAAAACTGAGAACTTTAGGTAAAAGTATGTTGAGGACTGCATCTATGGCTTATGAAGTAGAGAAGCTGTTTGCAACTGTAAAACCCAGAGTTCAAACCAAAGTCCCACCAAAATACATTATTAATTAATTAGCACATTTATTAGATAAAAATAGAAAACAAAAAGTACATTGAATGAACAGAAAAGAATCCATCTAACCTCATTAAAAATTTTAAGCACATTGAATAACCTAAGCATGTAAGAAATGTAACTAATTCATTGACTCATCCTGTACTTTGTAAATATTTTCTTTAGTAAATTATATTTTCTAGGTAAATTTTATGTCCTTGCTGATAAAATTATGAGGGGAGGCAAATAAATTGTAGTTTCAGTTAAGTGGAATGTCTAAATAGAATTCAAAAACTAATAAAAAGTATAAAGTCATAAGTGCTAAGAAAAAGGGTTTCCTTCCTCCTCACTTCCTCCCTTCCTCCCTCTTCCCTTCCTCCCTTCCTCACTTCTTTCCTTCTTCCTCCCTTCCTTTCTTTCTTAATGTGGAGGAACAAACCCAGGGCATTGCATATGCCAGGCAAGTGCTCTATGACTGAGTTATACACCAGCCACAGATACTGTGAACTGTTATTTGAACAAAAAACAGCTTGATTACACACATAGGAAGATGACTGCTGACCCCTGAATTAAATGAAAATATTCCCCAGTGGTAGGGCTGATTTTTCTTTTGCTGTTCTTAATTTTTTTCTTTTTGGCTACACAGAGATTTGACATAGGGCTTGACACTGGCTAGGTAGGTGCTCTACCTCTTCATCCACTCCATTAAGCCTTTTGCTCTGGTGATATTTGAGGCAGTGTCTCACTTTTTGGTATTTTATTTTCTCCTGGGTAGGGGTACATTGTAGCATTTATAAAGGTTCTTTCAATGCATCAAATAGGCTGGACTTTTCCAGGGTTGGCCTGGACTGCCTTCCTTCCATTTACACTTTTTGCAGCATCTGGAATAGCAGGACTGTGCCACCACTCACAGCTTTAGGTTGACATGGGGGTCGCACAAACTTTTGCCTGGCCTGGGCTCGAACCAAGATCCTCATGATCTCTACATCCTGAGTAGTTGATTATCTTTTATTAAACTTAAAAAAGGGCAATAAGATATGAAAGCCCACTGTTTATTTTTGGCATACAGAAAATAGGTGACAATATGAAACCAGTACAGAGAATCTGCACATTTCTATGATGCCTCAAAAGGTGTGTTTATCACCTGCTGAACACTCAGTTCACTTACTGAATGATGGGACATCAGCAAACGCAAAGCAGATAAATAATGGGGTTTATGAAAGGTCAACATAGCACAAATGATGGTTTATTATATGAATTTTAGCTTGAAAATGGGCATGAAACTGAATAAATAATTTAGTAATAATTATGCAAATTTATATGTATGTGTTCAAATAAGTATTATGTGGAAAGGGAAATCATGTTAATATATTAACAGTTTCAAATTGCTTTCATTCAATTCTTTGAATTTTGGTTCTTTTATTGTTTCTAAACAACACATTTTTCTAATGATAGAAACATACATTTCAATATTAAATATAAAATATTTCATCCTTGATAGTGTTAGTCATACAACTTTAAGCATTTTCTGAAAAATTCCTCGTTTGCACACCAGTAAAATTTTTCTTAATTTATTAACCATGCTATGTAAATCTTATGCTTCAAACATTTATGTAAATATTATGAGTAAATTTTAAAATATCTTAATAAATTAGTACACCAAGCAGAGATCTGTTCACCATTTTCTTCATTGTGAAGCTTCTATGTGAAAACGCAAAAGTTTTGCTTACTTAGTCATTAAAATTTTGAAAACATGCCAAGTAATTTTCATTGGAAATTGGTCCCTGAGGTGGCAAATTGTTGCATCATCCCCATGTCCACTGAACAAGGCACTCTGGACTTATCAGACTAAGAAGCGCAGCACACATTGCTCTGCATATATTCATAGTAGCTCTAGCATCTTGGAATTCTCCTGAAAAATACATTCCTGGTAAATATTTCTTTAAGAAAACTAAAGAAGACATCAAGGCTGATATGACTGCACAAAAATTTAAAGATAACTATGTCAAGGACCACCAGTGCTACATTACAGATTTTTTCACCTCCTTAAGTAGATTTCACATTCTACATGTGAAGAAAAGTTGGGTTGATAAATTTTGGGACCTACGATATTACAAGAAGGATTTTTCCACTAAGTTTGTCTCACAGTAAGTATTCTTAAAACTGAAATGTTTTATATCAGATAAAATGATGGAGGATCTTTATTAGAAGAATACTTATGCATGTATTATTTGGGCTTTACCTTGTGTATTGGCATCATTTTGGAAAAAGCAATGTAGACTAAGGTTCTAAAATAAATGTGAATATTTTGAAAACAATTCTGGAAGAAAGTTGTTTCCAGATTATCAAGTTAGGAAGACATTTCATCTCCTAGATGCAAATGCTTTTATGTGATCTATATTCATAATATTCACTAAGAAAACACAACCATAAAATTTTCTTAGAGTTTGTGAATATTAAGAGCAAAACAATAAATGATACATTAAAGATGTTTTCTATCATTGTCCATTATATATCTGGCATTTTGTTCAGTTTCCTGAACTCATTATGAAAAGGGTTACACTATTATGCTCTTTGAAATCAAAATTATAAAATAAAATCATAGAGTCATCATTCATTGGTACTGACTTTAGGCATGTTATTTTGGACTTACCTTAAAATATCTGGATGACATAGAACCAATGGTATAATATTGAATGTATATTAAATATGTTAATGGAAAGAAATTAGAATAGTTTCAAGTATGATACACAGATGATATGCAGGAACTTCTGGGTAATGAGGGTTCTTAGTCCTCTCTGAGATAGAAATCAAGGGCAGATTGGAGCATCAAGGTCAAAGATGTTTATTTGGAGAAAAGAGAAAGGAAAGGCTGCATGGGGGCATGCCCTGGGACCCAGAAAGCCATGGTCCCGTGGGTCAGGTTGGCAACTGGATTTTATAACTTTTTGTTTTACCGCCTGAGGATGAAGGTGTCTCTCTGATACAAACAGATATTTCCTGGGAAGGAGAAGTGTCTCCCTGGCTAATTTTCACCTTTGGGGAATGCATGGATCTTCTTCATTCTGCCCTTCAAGTAAATTCTAATGATGAAAATCAATTATTTCAGTGATAGTTCATAAGTTTAATATTAATTAGGAGACTACTTAAGAGACTTATAAAAATACAGGGAAGCCAATTAAAACAAAATCCAGTTTAGAATCATTTCAGCTAAGCATAAACTTTGATTTCTAACCTGTATAGAACAAAACACTGAGCAATGTGGAATGACACACCTGTGCCTGATTTCATCCTGACGGGTCTGACAGACTCAGAAGAGATCCAGCTGGTGCTCTCTGTGCTCTTTCTCCTGATATACCTGGTCACTGTGCTGGGGAACGTAGGGATGATAATGATCATTCACCTGGATGTACAGCTTCACACTCCTATGTACTTTTTTCTCTGTCACCTGTCATTTCTTGACCTCTGTTACTCAAATGTCATCACGCCTAAAACCTTAGGGAACTTAGTGACTTCCAAGAAGAGCATTTCATTCACAGGCTGCTTCACACAGATGTACTTTTTTATCCTGTTTGGTGGTGCTGAATGTTTTCTTCTTTCATCCATGGCCTATGATCGCTATGTAGCCATCTGTAATCCTCTACAGTATCCAGTTATTATGTCCTCAAGGCTGTGCTCTTCCCTCCTCACTGGAACCTATATGATAGGTTTTGTGGATTCCTCGGTCAACATGATTTGCATGAGTAGATTACATTTCTGCAAGTCCATTGTAATACATCACTTTTTCTGTGATACATCCCCAATTTTAGCCCTGTCCTGTGAGGATACATTTTACACTGAAATTATGGCATTCATTTTTGCAGGTTCTACCTTAATGGTGTCACTTATCACAATATCTTTGTCTTATATGTCCATTTTCTGTACTATTTTGAAAATTGATTCCACATTAGGAAAGCAGAAAGCCTTCTCTACGTGTGCATCCCATCTCCTGGGAGTCATTATCTTTTATAGCACCATGATCGTTACATACTTAAAACCAACTAAGTCCTACTCTTTGGGAAAGGATCAAGTGGCTTCTGTTTTTTACACCATTGTGATCCCTATGCTGAATCCCCTTATTTATAGTCTTAGAAACAAAGAAGTGAAAAATGCTTTCAATAGAGTCATGCAGAAGAGAGGTGGCTCCAAGGTATTAAGAAAACAATAATATTAAGCATTTCAACTCATTTTTTCTTTGTTTTCTGTTGGACATGGTGTATAAAAAGAATTGATTTGCTTCATGTTTATATTTCTGTGGAGCTGACATATATTTATTCAAACATGGTTTTGGACTTATGCAGGAGGATGTATTTAAGTTTCCATGCTGTGATTGCAGTCATAAGGTATGTGTAAATCTATTGGCTAATTGTATGAGATTTTTAATGGAAAATCACATTCACAATAAGAAAATATGACCTGATTCTTAGCAGTATAACCTATAAAATTCCTAATATATTCCAATTTTACATTTTTAAATTAAAAATCATATCCATTTTAGACAATGATACATTTCAGAAGTCATTCTCTTTAAAGTAAGAAATACATTCTTAGATATACAAGCATTTATAAGTAACTCAAGGTTTAAAACTTAGTTTTTTCTACAACATAAGTACTAATTCCACATTCATGTGATCAGAAGATGGATAAGATGAATATAATGCAATAATCCTGAGTGCTGGCCATTATCACTGCAGGATTTACATTCCTGCAATATTGTAATGAACATGTCTTTTACAGAATATGCACTGTTGTTTTACAAATTCAGGTCAGTTCACTTAATTCATGAACACAAAATAGCTACAAAGGAAAACAGTCAGTAGTTTCCCTATTTGTACCGAGAGTAAATTAAGCCATTGAAGTAAAAATGAGTTATAGCATAATGGTGTTTTCTAATATTGGAGACAATTTGGAAAATACAAAAAATTATGAAGAGCAACACTGTAACAGTTATTTATAGTTTTGTGCATATTCTCTGTAAATAATCATGAGTGTATATCTGTCCATGACCTTTGTAAATGGAATTTCTGTCATTTCCTATGTGGACCTTTTTCATTCTGTTAAAACTGTGATTTTGGTCATCTATTTGTCCATGAATGCTATGAAATGAATTTGCTCTCAGTATTTAGACTAAATCACAAGTCTATCTTTGCAATGCTTTGGACCTGAAACACACTGAATTTACCAACTAAAAAATCTTTGAGCAGTGTGAATTCTTATGTGTTTTTCTAAGAAACTTGAAATCCAAACATTTTCATGAATATCAAGCACTATGAGCTCTTGGAGTGACTCAATTGATATAGCGGCTGTCTAGGAAGTCCAAGGCCCTGAGTTCAAATCCCAGCAATACAAAAAAAAAGAACACTAGTTAGCTGCTTCATTGCCTTTCGCCCTTTGGCTTTCTAATATTCTTGAAAAATGAATTCTTGAATTAAATATTTACCTCATCTATTTTCATTCTTATTGATGAATTTTTATTTATAAATAATTATCAATGAATTAAGATATATTGGCATCCCATATTTTCTGGCCAAATCAGTTTCTAACATTTCTTTATTTTTAAATTTTATCTATATGATCTGGAATTGAAGTTTTAATTTTGTCTGTGATATAAAGGATATATTAGAAATATTTATTTTCTAAGTAATTTTTGTTGTTTGAACTTTTATAATACTGAATAACAATATTAAACCAATATGGTTTCATGAGTCAATTATTTTTGAAATTTATATTAAGATTGTTTGCATAAAATTATGCATGATTTTTTTCTAAAAGCTTTCTTAATGTTGAAAGCACAAGTTCTCTATTTCAACAGTTAAATGAAATTATGCAAAAATTAACTCTCAACTAATATATTAAATATTTAAATTGTGTTATATTTCTCCACTTTCTTATTTCAAGATTTTGCCTTTTTCATTATTGATGACATATGAAAGTATTGTGATTTTATTGGCTTTTGTATTTCTGTTGTCTGCAATGTATATTTGTTTATATCACTATTTGTTCTTAATTGTAATTAGAAATAAGAATTTAACAAAATTTTATATTTGACCTTTTGGATTCACCTCTGACATTGTAAATGCCTATGTCATTTCATAGATTCATAACTTCTTTCCACATTTCTAGTGATTTTTATATCAATCACCTTTACCTTCCATTCACTTATTCCCATAATTTAGAAAATTTATTGTGTCAGTTTGTGTTGCAAAAATTCTCATTAGAATATGTAATGTTGTAAACAGCATTTAAGTAGAAAAAATTCTTAAATTCATTAAATTAAGATTACTTTATCTTCTTTTTCTTGTAGACCAATACGTATCTTTGCGGTATTTTAAATGGGTATCTTCTAAAAGCAGTATGAGAAATTATGGGTTTTGCCCCATAATTTCAAAATTACATCACTGCTTGCTCTATTTAGTATAAGATGCTGTCTCAAATAATTTAAATTGTAATACTGTGGTTCAGGTTGCCATGTTAAAATACTGTATAGGATGAATGCAATATAGTATTTAAAAAGAATGCAATTCACAATGGCAAAATATGCATTGTCTTTTGCTTCTACAAATATCAATTAGTAGATAATAGTAACATTATTTTGTTCATTACTATGATGTTCAGACAGTTTGCAAGTGTTTTGCATAAAATTAATATTTTCATGTTAAATCATGTTGGAGTTTTGTGCTTCCATATGCTTTTTTCAATTTATTTTTAATTCTGTAAATAATGTCATGGAGACTTTGATGAATATTCTACTGATTCTGTAGATTACTTTCAATGCTACAGTCATTTTCAAAATATGAACACTGGTGGTCCATGAATATAGGAGGTTTTCCCATTTACTAGGGTCTTATTCAGATTCTTTTATTAGATTTTTATGATTTTCACTGTAAAAGTAGTTTTATTCCACAATATATTTTGAGCTTATTGTGAGTGGGATGGCTGTCCTGATTTACTTTGTAACAAGTTTGTTATTGATATATAGAAAAACTATTCATCCCTGTTTTTTAATTTTGCATCCTATACTTTGCTGGAAATTTTGATCCAATGTATCAGCTTCTGTTGGAGCCTTTTGTGTTCTTTAAGTATAGGGTCATATCATCTTAAAATAGGTATAATATGAGACCTGAAAAGGGGTTATTTCATCTTATATCACTGAAATCCACATAATTAGTTGGGAATATTTTGAAAACTTGCATTCCAAAATATTAGAAAAGTTAAAAGAAATTGATTATTTCAGGCACATATGACCTACTAAAATTAAACAAAGATGATATCAACCTTACATATATCCATAATAAGCAGTTAGCTTATAGAAGTAGTTATCTCCCCCTTATAAGAAGCTCAGGACCACACAGACTGATTCAGAGCTAAATACTAAAAGATTTTTAATTAAGATCTAAAAACAATGCATCTCAAACTATTGCATAATATAGAAAGGGAAGGGCACTTCCAAACTCTTTCTATTTATCCAATATTATCCTGATACCAAAAGTGGATAAGGACACAACTGCTGCAATTATCATGACTACAACAGAAACCTACATGTGCTTCCATGCACATGTGTATGGCAACCCACATTAGTTCATCTCTACCAGACCTCGTCACTTTTTCCTGGTCCCCTTCCCATAGTGGCTCAGGCCACAACAAGGTTAGTACCTTGCTCCGCTACAGTGACCACATCAAACACATTCAAGGTTTAGTTTTCTTTTCCTTTTCCTAGTCCTATTCATGTCCAGTCCTCTGTTCTGTTCCACTGGTCTTCATATTTGTTTTTCTGCCAATATTATTTATTGCTATAGCTCTGTAGTATGGTTTGAAATCAGGTATTGTAATATCTCCAGCATTGCTCTTTTTGCTCAGTATTCCCTCAGCTGTTTATATGCTTTTATGTGTACAAATGAACTGTATGGTAGATTTTTCAATCTCTGCGATGAATGTCATTGGGATTTTGATGTGAATTGCATTGAACATATGGATTGCTTATTGGTAGTATAGCCATTTTCAGTATGTTGATTCTGCCAATCCATGAGCATGGGAGATCTTTCCACTTTCTGTTGTCTTTTCGCTGATCCTTTCTTCAGTGATTTGTAGTTTTCCTTGTAGAGTTCATTTACATTCTTTGTTAAGTTTATTCCTAGGTATTTGATTCCTTTTCAAGGCTATTGTAAATGGAATTGTTTTCCTACATTATTTCTCAAAGTTGTTCATTGTTGATGTTCAGAAAGGCTACTGATTTTGTAAGTTGATTTTGTATCTTCCTACATTGCTAAAGCTGTTTATGGTGTCTAGGAGTTTTTGGGCAGAGTTTTTTCAGTCTTTGAAGTATAGGATCATGTTGTCTACAAACAGAGACAATTTGACTATTTCTTTACCTACTTGTATTCCTTTTCCTTGCCTTATTGCTCTGGCTAAGAATTCCAGGACAATGTTGAGTAAGAGTGGGGAAAGTAGGCATTTTTGTCTTGTTCCTTACTTTAGTGGAAATGTTTCAGCTTTTCCCCATTAAGTATGATGTTGGCTATATAACCTTTACAATATTGAGGTACATTCCTAGTTTTCTTAGAGCTTTTATAAAGAAGTGATGTTGAATCTTATCAAAGACTTTTTCTGAATATATTGAGATGATCGAGTGGTTTTTCTCTTTGATTCTATTAAAGTCCTCTACTACAATTATTGATTTGCACATGTTGGACCATACCTGCATCCCTGAGATTAAGCCAAATTGGTCATTATGAATGATTTTTCTGATGTGTTGTTGGATTCAGTTTTCCATTATTTGAGGATTTTTGCATCAATGTTCATTAAGGATATTGACCTGTAGTGTTCCTTTTTGGATGTGTTCTTATCTGGTTTGGGGGTCAGTGTAATACTGACTTCATAGAATGAGTTAGGCAGTGTACCTTCCCTTTCTATTTCATGGAAAAGTTCAGAGAGTGATGGTATTAGTTTATCTTTATAAGTCTGGTAGAATTCACCTGACAATTCTATGAAAATGGTGTATTCTAGTATTGGAGACAAATTTAAAAATACAAAAATTTATGAGAAGAAACACTGTGACAGTTATTCATAGTTTGGTGCAGGTTCTTTGTAAATAATTGTGAGTGTATAAGTAAACATACTTATACAAATGGAATTTCTATAGTTTCCTGTGCAGAAATTTCTGCATTTAGT